TTTCAAAGATTTATTTGACAAGAAGCTAGAAGATAAAGTAAAAGAAAATGTACGATTTATAAAACATAGGATTATTGCTTTGCAACAACTAACAACCATTATCTATTTCACATCTCCAAACTTTCTGGCCGATTGTGGATATCAGGTGGTAAAACCGAGAAAGTGTCCCCCCCCCCCGCATTTTTTTCTATTAGACTAGAAAGCGAGGCTCTGAAAATTGCAATCGGTGCCCTAAATCCGTAGTTATATCGATCTACCTCTGGCTCAAAAGTTGGTCTTCAAAGAGTGTCTTGATGTAGTGATGGTTTTTACGGCAAACGGTTAATATTTTTCAAATTATTTTTTTTTTTTTTACCACCGATAAAAACAGAAGAAGGGTGGGAACATTGCACAATTCGTTTCAAGTTAGAAAGAGAATACAGAGCTATCCTCTACAATATTCCCATCATATGCCAGAAAGACTTAGAAATAAAATTAAAATGTCCATGCACTATAATAATAATAATAATCAAAAAACAGAAAATATGAGAACTGTTTTTTCACTACAGGCTGGACTCTTATTGCTCGATTCTCAAACAGCGATGGCAAAAATTGGATGCGTGACGATGGTAGATGGTGGTACGACCAACAAATTGCCCTAGGAGCGACAAACAACTCTTCAAAGAACGACGATATGATTTCAACAGCCTTTTGGTCGGTCAGCGGCAGAGAATTAAAAATCACACGCAGTGACGACCCCAGCCACATCCCTCTGTTACAGACCACAGGTAACTGTTTGGGTGGACAAACATTTCGATCTAAAATCACAAGTTATGGCGACTTTAGAAATGGCACGGTCTGGGCCAGTGATCAGTGTCTGGGAAGTTGTCCAGTTCAATATGGCGGACAGTACAAGTCAACAGACGGGTTTCAACAGGCTGATTGCAATGGAAGCATCCAAAGCGCTAACAAGATTGGCTTCTGGTGTGACTGGAGTGGTGGGGATGGAGCAGTGATGATGATTGGAGGAGGAGGAAGTAGCTGTGCACGTGCTGATCATGGGATTGGGATCACAGAAGCTGACGCTGCTTCTTTCATTGAAGATGGTAGTAGTGAATATGACTTTGGTTATGATGCTCCATCACAGTCCTACTCGTTGAACTTATGGATACGTTAAAACATTATAGGATCTTTCTTTTTCAAACTTAGTTCAGAACTGAAGACCGCTGAAAAGAAAGATGTTGCTTATTTCTTGTCACCTTATTATTCAAGTTTAACTGTCAAAACGTAAATAAAAACTTATACCCTCACTGTGGTACAAGGGGAGTGGAAGGGGTTAGTTGGAACCCTGCCATGCGTTTTCGTTACATTGCAATATTTTGAAAAGTTTTTACCTTTAATAGATAGCCTTATGTCGTCCACAAGATGTTGTTAATATCATGGGATTCGTATGCAAATTTTGCTGCTGAGACTCGGTGACGTCATCCGACATGGCAGACTTTTTTCAGATTTTTCTTTGCCTGGCCCCGTATATTCTACTTTCTTGTTTGTAGCGCGTTGTGGAAAGTGTATAATATCTGTGTCATCTGTTTGTCTTCCAAAAAGTAGATTGAGAACTATATTTCTAGTATCTAGAGTAAACCAATCACGATGTGAACAAAATATAAATCTTTACGCTTGATATGTAACATGCATCTTACCTCAATGTTTTTTTAAACATGAATTAAATTTAATCTAAGTCGACTCCTTCTATGTTTATAAATGCAGGAATACTACTCGGGCTTGTCCGCCTCCACAATAATGTAAATCATATTCCTATTTAGCTGTTGTTTGAATGTAGTAGAAAATTCATTAGAGTTCATTTAGTGGGATTCTCATGGAATGAAATTTCTCGAGATCTGAAACAGAGTTTTCCAATATGGACATGTCAACGGCTTATACTTCCGAAAATAGTGTCTTTTCAATTGAAAATTTCAGTTCCGGTATGCAAAACTACTAGATCTAGGGTATCCACGTGTAAAGGCTTATGGACAAACAAGAGACCACAAAAAGAAGAGGAAAAAACGGGAAACGCTTGCATTTGAAACATGGGAAAAGTTAAAAATGAAATCAAGGTTTACATTTCACCCGCTAAATCGATACCTGCAGGACCAATAGTGCCCCTTATCTGTTTGTTTTCTAACAATACATATAAAACGTCGGATATTAACAACAAAACGCACAAATGCTACGTCTCTATAGCATTTTCTGCCAATAAACAAGCTTGTTTTAACGTTTCATTTCAGGAGAACACCTCGTCTCATTCCATTGGTATAAACGGTTAATATCGCAGAAAATAATGAATCCATGTAATCTTTTTTGGCGTTAACTACCTCTAGAACTGGCTATTTGGAAGAGAAACCAGATAATTAACATGAAAGATGTTGGGAATTGCGCCTGAATGTTTCTCGAACGAAAAAAAGCATATGCCAAACAATCACATTTCAAAATCGTGAGCGTGGGTTGTTAACTGATCTATCCTAGGCGGTATAGACAACCACGCTTTAAATAATTTATTACGCTGAAAAAGCCAAATAACATTAAAAATTTACTGCTTTCCGTTACAGAAACAAACGAGGGCAGTGGTCTTCTAATGGTCGTTGAATTAGGACCAAAAACCTTGATGTCTAGTCGCGCAACATCCTAAAATTGTCAGCAGTTAACGAAGCGTCTGTCGCTGTATATATTTCAGTTGTATATGATGTATTTGAAAGATCAATGCTTCCTTTTCACAGTGCTTCCCTTTGGTTTTGCGTCTGTTCTTTTCTTCTCATGGTTTCATTGCCGGGCTGTTGCAGACCAAGGTGATATAATTATTATCATGTTACTAGTTATTTAGTAAACTGGATATTTTTTCCTGAATTGCATTCAAAGCTTTCAGATGAACTATATTTTCGGTTCATTTTTGGTAATGTTACGTTAAAAGCTGCCATCTCCTTCGTATCCCCATGGCATTCTTTCACACCTACTTCAGAATGCAGTAAAGATCATTTTTTTCCTCGAAAATACCGGATTGGGAAAAAGTTTTAGCTTGTGTCCTGGGTGAAATGCTTAAAATTGTTATCAAGACACACATTAACTTGTTCATCACAGGCGGAGTCCTATCATGAGATGATTAACAACTTTACGCTCGAAAGGTCAGCCTTTAAACTCTTTACGGTGGCCAATTTACGTTTTAAAATCAGTCGATAACACTAAATTACCTTGATGTAATATGATTCGACTGTTTTAGATATGAGATATCGCAATGTAAACACTTGAAAACTGCATGAAGGAGATAAAAAAAATTAATACACTTCTTACTGATCAATAATTCAAAGTTTTCAGTGAGGCTTCCTGCTAATTAAATGGTAAAGAAAAATTTCAGACCAAATATACATAAATCAACGATATCTCATCAATTGATATGTGATCTTTTACAACAAATAATAATTAGCCCTTAGGATTTTACCATATCGTTTCACGCTCATGCAAGTTCTTCATACTTTGTTGTAAAATTGTTTAATTCAAATGCTGGAGAACTAATCAGATTTCGGTGGCCTGGTGAAGATAGCATATAACTTCGACTTCCAATTC